GGCGGGGGGGAAGAGGGGTTCCCTCAGCCTGGCCTGCACACTTTCCAATCTGGGACCCCTCGGGGGATGTCCAACTGCCTCTTGCAATCTGAGGCTGCTGGCTCCTAACCATTCGCCTGCCTGCCTGATCGCCCCTAATTGCTCCCCTACCGGCCTGATTGCCCCTAACCCAGGAATCCCTCCTCTGGCTGGTCGTAGGCACCCAGGACCTGGGCCAGCTTCACCCAGCCGCAGCCACAGGTGCCCAGGACTGCGGGGCAGGCAGCCTGTCCCTCTCCTGGGCCAGGCGCAGGTGTAGCCACTGGCGCCTGGGACCGTGGGGCAGGTGGCTTGTCCCTCTCCCGGGCCACAGCCTGGCTGGTCCCCATTCCTCTCTCCCGAGCTCATTTGTGCCTGGCTGGTGCCCATTCCTCTCTTGTGAGCTCATTTATGCCTGGCTGGTCCCCATTCTTCTCTTGTGAGCTCATTTTGTGCCTGGCTAGTCCCCATTCCTCTTTCCCCAGTGTTGAGTGTCTGAGCCATTACGGCGTGAAGGCGTGAGAACCATTTGCATATTAGCTCTTTATTATATAGGAGGATTCAATATCTGTAAGATCTAGTTTTGTTTAAATTTAAAATTTTCTGTTTTTCTTATTAGTCTTAATAGAGATCTATCCCTCTTTTCTGGTCTTTTCAAAGTACCAACTTTTGGTTGTTTTGATTTTTCTCTTTTGAACATTTACTTTGTTTTATTAATTTCTGCTCATTATTTCCCCTTTCCTACTTTCTTTCTTCTTCTTTTTTGTCATCATTGATTCTATTTCCTTATCAGGGACTTCTCAAAATGAAAGATTATTTACATAAGCTGTCTGTTTCTAATGGATAAATTTGTTAGACTAATCAGCTTAATTTTAACTCCTCAGTTCAAAACCATAGGGAAGTACTATGAGATAGTACAGATTAAGGTAAATTACTTTTTCTCTCCAGATTACATATTTGAGGATAGGTTCTAGTATGGTTGAAGGTATCTGAAGTCTCATCACCCATTAATAAAATATTATTCTACTCAGCAACATACAGATCTTAGTTCTCTCTTATTTTAAGGTTTACTTTTAGTAATGAAAAACAAAAAAAATTCTCCTTGGTCTTTCAGTACTTACAAGTGAAGGAACTGTGAATATCTGAACCGAGAGGTCTGCGACTGAAAACTCTCTGTCGTGGTCATCTGTCACATAATCACTCTGCAAACGCTCATAGTTCTATTAAGAAGGCAAAAAAAGGCAAGGAGTGCCAGCTATCAGTTACAAAGAAAAGGCAAGCACTACTCACCAGAGTAGGTGCGGTGAAGAACTGGACAGACAGAGCAGTCACGGACACTGCTCGCTCGTGATCATCCTCCATAAAATCTCTCTGCATCTGCTGGTAATTCTAAACAACAAGGGGAAGATTCACCTCTAATCCACATTGACCAAATGGTTAAGGATAATAATGAAAATTCAGTGCTGGAGGTGTCAATGAGATAACACTCACTCACTCGGAAGAATGATAACTGGAATAATTTCTACTAAATAAAGTGTGTATAAATATTGACTCACTGGACAATCCGTTCAAACACAAATGGCAGTTTATGAGCTGAAACAGGAGTAATATCCTGGGATATAGTGGGGCTACGCCATCGCGCTTACACCATCACTGATAAAACCAGACTTTATTACTTCTGGATGTATATCAGAATCACCTGATGGCTCTTTCAAAGTAAAAGTGCTTGGGCCCCATTCTTGGTGAATCTGCTTTAGCAGATTTGAGAATAGAACACAAACACATATATTTTGAAAAAACTTCCCAATGATTCTTACACACTTCCTTGGTTAAGAACACCTAATTTAGATAAATAATAAAAAGAAACAGCCGTTAGCTTAATCACATGCTGTTAAAAAGAACAGAATTCAACAATATCAATAATCTACAGTTCATGATTTTTAAATTACATCCATATATACACATGGTTTCAACTAAGATGAGATCTTCCTTGTATAAAATTTAATAGAAATAATACCATAATTCACAATAGGATAGGTTTAAATTTTCATTTATCATTTCATATCATACATACAGTATAGATGGATATTCATATTACCATGGCAGACAATGAACAAGAAAAGCCTCAATGAATTTTATTCTATTGATAAAAGATAAAAAGATGATTTATGAAGTTTCTTAGAATTTAAAAGCAACACACTGACATATTACTTTAGCTGCCAATTTTACAAAGGCTAGATATAATCACGGGCAACAGTCACTCTGTATACAACCTGATGATTTTGTTAAACTTCAAGTCTGAGAAACGACTTACCTTTGCAAATCGAACAGCAAACAGTTTCTTGTATTTCAAATCCATAAGTAGACTGCTCATGAACAACTGATGATACATACTCCTAGCACCTTTTACAAAGGGAGCAGATATAAGAGAAGGATATATAAAGCAAGCCAAAAATTACATTTCCCCAAGTTTTATATGGACAACTGTATTTTAAATCTTAAGAGCAAAACTGCGTGTTCCTTACTGTAAAATATTTATAACCTGCTTCTTTAAAAAAAAATCGGCTTTTCTAAGTATAGTTTCTAACAAAATATAAATGCTATTTAATTTGGGTCATGGACCCTTGAATCTGTTTGTTTTTCCCCAAAGAATAAGAGTGCATATGCTAATTTGAAAAACCATACTTATTTAAATACTTTCCCAAATGAAAAAAATAAAAAAGAAGAAGAGAACTTAACATCCCAGTTACCTATATAGGTTCCTCTATACCTTAAAAGTAGTTAAGAGACTCACCTTTCCACAATTTGGAATCATTGAGCATCAATCTATCCACGAGAGAAGAATTTTCACCATCTGGCCCTTCTTGTAAACCAACTTGACATAAAATTCGGCGAAGGCCATCTTAAACAGGAAGAAAACTAGTCATGAAATAGTAACTTCCAATATTAAACTAAAATTTTAGTAAAAATGTTCAAATAAATCTATGGAGTTTTACATGTTCTCATTAAAGGTCAAACTAAATAAGAAAAAGTAAACATATTAACAATTTTATTAACATTTTCATAAAAAGGAGAAAAATTCCAAATCTTGTATTATACACAGACTCTTATTCAGGAACATCAAAATATATGCCTATCAGAAAGGCAATGACCTCTTATGCTGTAAAGAATTTAAAGAGTAGCCCAGCTGGGGTTGCTCAGTGGTTGGAACATCATCCTGTGCACTGAAGGGTCTCAGGTTTGATTCCCAGTCAAGGGCATGTACTTGGGTTGCAGGTTCCATCCCTGGCCCCAGGACGCATGCAGGAGGCAACCAATTGATGTATCTCTCTTACATCAATGTTTCTCTCTCTCTCCAAATCCCCTCCTTCCCTCCTTTCCACTCTCTCTAAAAATCAATGGAAACAATATCTTCGGGTGAGGATTAACAACAACTAAAGAATTTAAAGAGCGCCGAAACCGGTTTGGCTTAGTGGATGGAGCGTCGGCCTGCGGACTGAAGGGTCCCAGGTTCAATTCCAGTCAAGGGCATGTACCTGGGTTGCGGGCACATCTCCAGTAGGGGATGTGCAGGAGGCAGCTGATCGATGTTTCTCTCTCATCGATGTTTCTAACTCTCTATCTCTCTCCCTTCTTCTCTGTAAAAAATCAATAAAATATATTTTAAAAAAAATTAAAAAAAAAAGAATTTAAAGAGTAAAGAATACAAAAAAAACCCAAACCCCACTGAAATAATCATAGTTCTTCAAACACCAATGTTAATTAAATCATATTATAGCAAAATTGTACTACCAATTAAAAGAAGGGATGACTTCAGTGCTGTAACATATAGCAGTTCTTTTTATTAATGCCATACGAAATGTTCATCATTAAATAAAAATTCACTGTGTCTGTGTACCTATCTATGTGGACCTACTATGTGACAGGCCCTGGAAAAAAAATTCCTACATCCTCTAAATACTAAACTTAAAAAAAAAGTTGCTCAAATATTGATATAAGGATTAACATAACCAAAACTTTAATACCTTTTTGTTTCATATTTTATAATTAAAATTACTATTTTCAGAATTCTACAAGCATGCAAATAATTAGAAAAAATAGAATTTTTACTATAACTCCTACTTGGCATAAAAGTATCCAATGCAAAACATCAAAACTTAAAAAATGAGGGTAAGAACTCCAGCCAGGTAGCTCAGTTGATTGGAGCATCATCCCATGCTCTAAAAGGTTGAGGGTTCAATTCCCAGTCAGGGTACATACAGGAAGCAACTGATGGATGTTTCCCTCTCACATCTATGTTCCTCTTTCTCTCTCCCTTCCAAAGTCAATAAACATAGTCCAGCTGGCATGGCTCAGTCATTAAGCATCGACGTATGAACCAGGAGGTCACGGTTCAATTCCAGTCAGGGTATAAGCCCAGGTTGTGGGCACAATCCCCAATGGGGGCTTGTAGGAGGCAGCCAATCAACGATTCTCTCTCATCATTGATGTTTCTCTCTCTCTCTCTCTCACC